ACAGAATACTCGGTAAACTGATACCTGATCAATACACAGGGCTTACGGCGGATGTGATCGGTCGATAGGTCACTCTTACATCATGTACTTCTCTTAGGTATCTGATCCCATTTCCGGTGTTTCCTGCAGGGGTCCGTGTTTTTGCCGTGTTCGCAGTTCGTTTTGTTTTACTATAGATTTATGAGATCGATCGCTGTTCGTTATCTTCACATTTTACACTCTAAGCAATTATCCAGGGTATACCTTATGAGTTTTGAAACAAGGTGGAAATGTCTTATATTCGCTGTTATTATATTTAGCAAAATATCATATTAGCCTTAGGTACATCTTATTCAAAAATATGCATGAATTTAGTTCTCTAGTGTTCAAAATGACTATCTCCATGTTTCAGATTAAAGGTCAATCATTGCAGAACGAAGATAGTACCTAAAGCCCCTGTCACTCTGTCACGATTTTCGGCTACGACAGAGTACGAATTGAAAAATCGCAGTAATTCGGCGTTAATCGTAGGATTTCTTCCTAATTCCTGTTTCATTGCAGCAAATCGCCAAACGCGGCGATTGTTTTGAGCATGTTCAAAACAATCGTGGCCACATTATCCGTAGGCGATCGTACAGCCATCGCAATGCACTTGTACACATATTCGTAGTAAATCTTCGACATTCGTAGGGCACTCGCAGAACTTCGTAGAACTTCCGACGCTGCGAGTGTCCTACGACTTATTTCGAGTGTCCCACGAGGTTCTGCGAGTGTTTCTCGACTCAAAAGGAATGTAGTACGATTTTATGCGAATATAATACGAAAACAGGCGATTGACGTCGAGTGCAATACAAGTACCGTGCGAGTGAACTACGAATTAGTGCGACTGTACGCGTTGACTATAAAAGAAGTTATCTGATGATTACCCTGTCAAAAATCAAAAAGCCGTCAAGAAGAAAGGGTAAGAAAACGCAAAAAGAAACAGGAAAAAACATGTAGTCCTGAAATTGAAGAACGTGGTGATTTGACTAAAGATCCAGAAGAACCACCAGAAGAACCACCAGAAGAACCACCTCCACCAGAAGAATCAGAACCTTTACAAAAAAAGAGGCGACAGAACCTCAATTTTAGTGAGGAACAAGAGGCAGAAATTGTAGAATGACTAAAGAACCCCCCTATATTTTACACTAAAGGAGCAAAAGAATACAAAGATACACAAAAAAGCAGTGCCTTTGCCAGGAGAAGGCTTAACAAATGGATGTTCCAGGCATGAATTTTAAATGGAATGATTTTGGGAAAATTGTTACACTCTTAATATAGTAGTTTTTTTTTTTTTTTTTTTTTTTTTTTTTTTTTTTTTTGTTAATTTACATTACACCTTTGTTTTTTTTTTAGTGGAAAATTTACAAATCTGGTATAAAAGCATGTGCATTATGTATGGAAAATTGTCTCAATCAAAATCAGGTGACGTTCGTAAGGAATTTACAGAGAGAGACAAATGGGTCAAAGAGTCATTTTCTTTTCTATCCAGCCATATAGTTCGTGTAATCAGTAGACAAGCTGTAAGTGTAAGTATCATTACAATACTCAACAATATATCTACTTTTTTCTATCTATATTTGATAAATGCTTTTAATTGCTATAGTTCCAGATAAAATTGGTCCTGGACAGCTCAGATAGACCTGACACACCTCAAACGTTCGATGGTGATAAGGAAATTGAAAATGAAGAAGACAATCAAGAAAATCAACCGAGTACCTCTTCCAATATCACTAAAAATCCAAGCTCTACAAACTTGCCAAGCATGAAGATACGTACTGCAAAAAAAAAGAAACCAAATACCAGAGCTATAGATTCGGACATGTTAGCACAACTTAATGAGAGGGTGACGGAGACAAAGACATAGTAGAACAGAATTGACGAGCTCGTGAAGTCAGCAGATAATCCCCGCACAGCTTGGGCAAATTGGATTAGGACCATGTTTCCTTATATCCATGACGACTTGTGGGAACAACATCTTCGTCAATCTTTCGACAGTCTCCTTTGGTATTATTCGGAGTCGAACAGAATACGACGACAAAGAGAACAGGCCTCAAATCCGACAGGTTTAACATCACTTCAGCAACAGCAAAGAGCAAGTGAAGAACAGCGACAAAGTTGTGGAGGTTTTCAACCAATCAACTGGGACACAACACAGCCTCGTTATGACCAAAAACAACAGGTCCAGTCAACCCCAAGATCGTCCTCAAACTCCTTCCATATTAGCTCATTTCTAAACAACCTTCAGTCAGAAATGCCTTGTGATGAATCTATCCATCGTGCCAAAAATCAATAATATAGAACACTCAGAATTGTGAACATTGCTTTTTATTTACAGATTAATTAAGAAAAACATAACTTTTTTTAGATTTGCTAATTGCTCCTTATTCAGGGAATGAATAATCATAAATCATGATCGGTGTTTCATATTATTTTTATCGTTCTTTTCATTACAAAGTACATTGTAAGGTAATCATTAAAGTTACTGATAGAAATACGATTCAGCTGTTTAATTGTCAGTATACACATACAAGTTATTACGAGTGTTTGCAATTTATATCTGTGTTTTATTTTCTAGTATGTTCAGAGAATGAGTATTAACACTGTTGAATGTTTCACGTTTATTAATACACAATAAAATTAAAACAATATCCTGATCCATTTGTTACATTTACAATAAATCGGTCGTCAGCAGAATCATCAGAACACACATAAAAAAATCTTTTAACTCATAGTCATTATATCATATCATTCTGCCAGGGAACCGCCCCAATGGCTGAATTGTAGTAGTGCTTAAAGTACAGCCTCTGTATCTTTGCTGCTGCTCGATTGCATCAAACAACGTTGTTCAAATTTGTAAGGTTTGCACATTCTTTCCAAGATCCCGGAACCACGTGATGAGGCCAAGATAAATAAATGGTGTGTTTCCTATTCCAACCTGAGAAAAAATAAGGTAGGTAGGTAGGGAAAACATTTTATTTTAATATTTTACTGGCAAGCACGCTACCATTTTACCCCGGGGCAATTGCTGTCAAAACATTCCTGATTAATGTGTATAGGATATGCATTTTCTGAAACACAAAAGTGATCGAAATTAGGATTTCTAATAGTTAAACTAATAGTTAAACTGGGATAGTTTACGCCTGGGAAGATATGCGCGGATAATTTTTTAGGGTCGGCTTATATATTTTAGGGTCGGTCGGGGAACCGGAAACACACAATTTATTTATCTAGGCCTGATTCAGGTCCTCCTGAACAAGATTTTCGTTTCGGAGATTTGGAAATCTCAATCTCATCAAATTATGAAGACAGCAACATGCTAATACAATAGATGAAATAGTCTCTGGTTCTTGGCGCATGGGAGCTAAAAGGCATTGCCATCTGTTGGCGAGTATTCCAAATGCATTTTCTACAACGCGCCTTGCTCTGCATAGTCTATAGTTTAATATACGCTCTTCCTTGGTCAAATTCATTCTTAGGAAAGGTTTCATAAGCCATGTCCTGAGAGGGAAGGCGTCATCACCAACAATGAAATAGGGGTGTTTCTGTTATCATACGGTAGAGGGGCTTTTGGAAATCCATTTTTGATGACATCTTTTAATTCCGAGTTGTTAAATACAGTAGCATCCGATACCGTTGGCACCTACGTCAACCCAAATAAATTTATAATCAGCATCAACAAGCCCCATAAGAATAAGGGAGTGGAACCCTTTGTAGTTGTAATAAAGTGAACCTCCGTTTCGGGGGCATTTTATAGCAATGTGCTTTGCATCCAAAGCACCAAGATCATGGTCCAGGTTCCATCTAACTCTGTACTGCTCAGCTATATAGTTATCTGTTGCCACTCATCTGTAGTTGTTGGACATGCAATTACTTCATGAGCATATTCCGCTATTATACTTTCACAAACTTCACGAACCAGCAAGGAAATCGTATTATGTGGAACTCGAAATCCATACATCAGACTTGTGTATGACTCACCTGTTGCTAAATAGGGAAGTGTAAATGCCAACTTTAATCCAGGTTCCAAAGCCTTTTTGAACCATGTGTCTTGTTTTTGTAATCTGCGATTCAATCTGTCTACAAGCTCTCTAAACATATCTGGCTCCATGCTTTCTGAGGAAGTTTTTGAATGATAATACATTCTCAGTTTCAAGTTCTCTCATCAAATGATCAAAATATCCATACTGAGTACGTCTAGTGATCCATGGTCTTATCCAGTATCTTCTTCTTCGCCTATGTGGACGCTCGTTGTGTAATGGGCAACATCGCCTCGTCATTTTCTGCAATATTCTGTTCAAGTTCCTCCAAATATCGCAGCAGTTGAAGCCTCCGCACTGTAGCTATTGCCATAATTATCCAACTTCCAATTGATGCTTAGAATTTCAAGCAACCATCTATATATGTATCCTCAAACCATGTATATTCGTATGAACACATCATTGTTCGTAGGAATATCGTCTATGCATCGTACAGACTCGTAGTTATTCGAAAAAGCATCGTATAAAATCGTGTCTTATCATACATATTCGTATTAAGATCGTATTGCGTTCGTTATGTGGCCGTCCCTGTTCGTATATTACTCGCCAAAACTCGTTCTGTTATCGTAAATGCCTCGTACATTGATGAGTGGACACCATAGTCGCATCGTGGCAGACTCAAAAAAATCACCTTCTGTCAAAAAAAACAAAACAAAACAAAACAAAAACAAAACAAAAACAAAAAAACAACAACGCAGGGCTAGCGTGGCGAATGTCGGCGATTTCTAATTTTTAGTAAATCGTGTAAAATCGTAGCAAAAATCGTGACAGTGTGACACGGCCTCGAATGACACTACATTTCATAAAATTTCCATGCCGTTTTTTTTTTCCATTGTGCATAAAACTGCAAGGGCTTATAACCTTCTCCCACAGTTTGTCAAAAGTAACTCGAACCTTTGAATTCAAGGTTTGTGACACAACCACAAAAACTAGACAAGATAAGAAACGTACTGCACTGTACATTTAGTCGAACAGAACTGCAAGGCAGACCATGTATGTATTAGTCTTCATTGGACTGTTCTCTTTAGTGACAGGTGCCCCAGGGGAGAAGAGACAGGTAAAGAAAACATCCTCAAAACCCTTTCTAAGAAAGAGAATTTTTTAAAACTCGTTTGATTTGGGTAAATTTGTTGTAACACGTCCTAAGAGAACTGCAATACGAACAGGAATTCCGAATAAGAATAAAAGGTTATTATTAAAAGCATTCATATTCTAACTAACATATATCATTATATATATTTACATCCACTGGATATTATCTCCTTTAACGAAGGTCATTTATTCATTCGTAAACGCCGCTAACCGTTTTTTTTTTTGCAAGCAACCTGTTTAGATTTTCTTGTGCAGTGTACTGTTCAATCAATGAAACATACAACGGCGTACACTAAGCACTAATAATCCAATATCTAACGTACTTAATATGATTATTTATAAAAACATAAAATAAACAATAAATTGTTTTTTGTTTGTTGGCACAGGAATTAACGGTTGCAGCTATTGCAGAATAGCTAAGGTAATATGTATTTTTTTTCCCGAAGCTGCAACACTTATTCCCGTACCAACAACCAAAGAAAGCAATTTATTGTTTAACTATTCCCGGTGTCATCATATTTTAAATTGGATATAATGCAGCTTTGATGACGTATACTGAATCACTCGATGACATAAAATGAAATATATGAATGTGAAATTCTTTTTTTTTAAAGACCAAAAAAAAAAAAAACCCTATTAATTCCTGTAGATTCTAGAATAGTTTTATACATGTTATATGCAAATAAGCCTAAAAAGTTAACTCATTTTAATAACATTTCAGGATGAGCACTATTTTATGGAGAACAAATGTTCGATGTCAGACCGAGACGCTAGCTGCCCACACGGATATTGCTGCGCGTATGACGAGTTTTTCCGCATCATCTACTATTGCAAAAAATTAGGAGCTGTGGGCGACTCCTGCTCAACCGTGGCCAGTGACGCTGACTGCCCCTGCGAAGAAGGCCTTACATGCGTCCCCACTGTCCAAGGAAGTACTTTTGTTACTATTTATGGACACTGCCAGAAGCCTGCTGCATCCACTAATGCTGGAACAACGAATAATGGACACCACGAACCAAAACATGGATGACATTTCTGAAAGATCTGAGATAAATTCTTTGTAGCAAACAAAAAATAGTTCCTTACCCCTTGCCTTTAAATCTAGCACACCCATATGTTAGTATATAAATTGAGATTTCATTTTTCATCTTATTAATGAAATCCCTGATAATAATTAGACATTCGTTTGTGTCTGTATGCACTTTTGACAGCGATGCGGACACGGTATGTATCTTTTAGTTAAGAACATACAGTAGCGTACAACATACTTTATCGATAAAGTATTCAAATTGTTGCAGAGGTGGCAGATAACAGGAGGCACTTGTCTTTACTTGAAGGCCTAAAGGTCAAAGTCAAAATAAACATGAATGAGAATTCCATTTGACCTTACAGTCTCAACCTAGATGTCATGTAAGGGCGGAGCAAGCGGTAAATATAGAGAATGTAATTACTGTAACCCTGTAAATTAAAATTAATAGCAGTTTCTAAGTAGTAAGAGAAAAAGAACAGGGGCAGTGATTCGTATTCTAAATGTGAACACTATTTCAGTTTATTATGCAAGAACGTGCATTCTTTGAATACAACAAGAAGATGACCCGCTTTCCGCTGTTTTTTTTAATCTGAAGTTATGCGTTCGGTAAAATGACCACATTTCAAGAAATTTTAATATGCTGAACAAAATCACAATATGTAAATCGGCATTCATTTTACATATCCCATAATGAGAATAATACAAAGCATGACAGAAAGGTCACAGAGTAAAAGTTCTACAGCCAGACATTGATAACTTCGTGCGAAAGAAATTATGATGTAATATGCAGTTTGTACTTAATTCTTGTCTGTTAAGTTTTCCTTAAAGTACGTGTGTAGGAGTCCAATTATAAATTGTCTTTCAAGCGACAATCACTGAGTTGAGAGGGAAAAGATTTAAATGCTTCATCATGATAATTTGGCCTTTGTACATGTAACCTAGCTTGTGTTTTCAAATCCAATATATTTTTGTGTTTGGACGACTTGAGTAACCATCATGGTCTTTCTGACATGCATGTATTTGACATTGCTATAATTCTAGACACGTGAACATGTACGAGGGTTGTCCGGTTAAATCGTGGACAAAGCGTTTTAATTGAAAAATAATGGGCGCACTAAGCTGAACTTTTCAGCAAATGTTTAACATATTTAAGTGCATCTTAATATTTTGGATAAAAAATAGACAAAAATATTTTATTATACTTCAATGTGCACAGGGTACGGTCGTACGGCGCACGATCAAGAGACCAGGGTTTCATCAGAGAGTACACGAGGTTGATTTCGAAATAAAAGTAGTAAACAGTTGAGGATGAGATAAAAATTATCCTATTTTTAATCCACTATCTAATATGTTGTCTTTTGGAAATTTTCAAGGCTTTTGCTTAATGTTTGGCAGTTTCCTGAGCATTTGAAATGGGAAAGTGGTAATCACAACACACGAAAAATTTCTACGTTTGATGACGTTACGGCGCACCGGAGAGCAGTTCAGTTTGATTTAGATGTAGTAATGAAGCCCTAAGAGTCTTTAAAAACTACTGAAGAAAAAATATAAAAATATCACTAGGTCTTTATTATACAAGTAAAATGGGAGTTTTCTAAGAGGAAGCTTTTTGATCGAGTTCCCGGGTAGAACAAAACATACGGACAAACAGCTAATGGCAATAGCGAAAGACGCTGTTACTGTAGACCGTCGATATAAGGTAGCCAATTTTTAGTTGAATTATAGTGAGAGTACTGTCCATTACTTACTAATAAATCTTCAGAAGGTCCCATGTGCTTGCAAAATTGGTTCCTCGTCTGCTTTTTGAGGAATAAAGGGAAACTCAAGTACATGTAAGTGCATCAATGAATTTCTCGAATTTATGTGGGGCTTATGCGACTTTTTTTTAGCAAAGAGGAAACGTTGACGCTGCTTTAGACACTTTGACGTTATCATGGATCCGTGCGCCGTAAGGAGATACCACACATAACATAAAATCTCATATTTTCTTTATTTGAGCATATATCTACTTGAAAATTGCTATGTATATTGATGAAAAATGTACTAATGAGTAGTGAAAATTTTAGAACGCAGTGATGATTAATTTTCACGCTAGACAACTTGTCCACGATTTTACCGGACAACCCTCGTATATATGCCGAACTTGAATCTTAATATAGTTCCTTCGCAAAAATGGGACTATTATGAAAATTGGTGTCTTATGTGTTTCTGGAGGCTGTATTGTTATAATCACAGCAAATATAAAAGGTGAAAAGAAAATTCTCTAAAGGCTGTTTAGATGCCCAGCAAGTCTCATTTAAAATTTCATCAACGTGGCACAGAAAACCATATTCATGTAACACATGGGTTCCATTCTCTTATATAGCTTTTAATAAAAATATTTTCACTTAAGGAAGCTCTATAAATACTGCACACTAAAGAGTTCTACTTATTAGGTAGTTTTATGCAGTGAGATTGATCTGTCCTTAGAAGTAAGATAGCAAAAATGCTTGTTTACTGTTAATTACACAATTTATAATAGATTAAAATATTCTTGTTAATATATTAGACCAAGAAAAAGTAAATAAATTCATTATTTCCATTAGTCTTTCCAATGTAAGTAAAGTGATTTCTGTTCACGAATAGTCCATTGTCTTTGAAAATTTTTCCTGCGGAAATAAGGCAGGTACCCTATGTTGAAAAAGAATTAAATAGACTCAATATTCACACTTTAACATGATATATTTTTATCCAAGTCCAAAAGGCACTTTTTGTTAGTGCTTAGAGCTTTCTTAACTGGAAACTCGAAACCTCATAGGTTATTGCTAATAATTAATAAGTTGAATGCACTAATCTATAAGGTTCCATCTGGAACTTGATGAACTTCGTGTTCTTGTTTTGGAGACAGCGAAATGTGAATCCTGAAGAGTGTTTTGAAAATAAAATTCAAGGTGCTCCAAAGGGTTTGGCATTATATATATAAGTGGTCATTATTTCTAGAATGTTTATAACCGTGTGTTCAAACAGAAGGATAGACTAACACTTACATAAGTAGAAACAGACATCGTATGAACAGAAAAGGTGGCAAACTCTCCTTTGGGATATCAGAGTTCTAGTTTTGTGCCAGCATTCCGGGTATAAGCCACATCTCTGCGTATACGTCGAAAGAGAAACATTACTTATACACATTCCCGCGTCAAAGATTGTAACACCGTGTAATAACCCCTCGGACTATGTTCCCTTACTCGGAGTTTTTGTCTATAGTAACAGGAATATGACCTCAAGACTTCAAGGATCGTGTCAGACATAAAAATTAAGACGAGATAAGAAAAGCAATCATTGCACAATTATTTTAAAAGGATTATAAAGAAGACCATGTTCATTTTGGCCATCATCGGACTGTTCTCACTAGTGGCAGGTGCCCCTAGAGAAAAAAGACAGGTAAATTGGGGGAAAAAAATGATTTTCTTGTAAATTAAATACTGATGTTATTCTTATTTGGAAAAATCAACGTTAATCTTAACTTACTATCTGAGTGTTACATATTCACTGCACCAGATCACTGTCCAAAACTATTTCTATAAGGAATGGCAATTTGAAGATTAGTACACCCATCACAGTTGTGGTAATACTAATGGTACTTTGATAGTACTTGTTATTTGACCCGATGTGACCTTAAATGTCCTACTTAATGGAAATGTGGTATTGGAAACAGATGAATGTCTTCAAACATCAATTTCTGTCCTACGTAAGAGGGCTGGATGGTTGAGGCCACTTAAGACTAATTCAACCATTAAAATTTTGTTAATTGAACGCAACATTATTATTTTATATTTAAAAAAAAAATTTGCATTTGCTTTGTAAAAACTCATGTGTGAGAAAATATTTGATTTTGGGGTTTGAATAGTAGCGAGAAATATTAGATTCGTATGTCTTGTATAGTTCTAAATTTATCCAATTTCATTCGTTGTTAATGCACCAAAGTAGGTAATTGCAAGGAAGGGGCCATTTGATTTTCGAAAGGGGGATATGAAAGTCATACGATCGTGAAAAAAATAAATTAAGAATGTTTTCCCTCATAAAACTTTTTAAATTATGCAATTAATTAGTTAAAACCTCATGACCAAACAAATGTTCTATAATAAGCTAATACACTTCCTATTAATGTTATACATTAAAATCAAATATTTCATATATATGGGAGCAGCTCTAAAAAAAGTGGCACTGAAAGATTGAAAACAAATAATCTGAATAAGGTTCTGTTCTAAATTAAAAATATGGGTTCATTCAAATTGTTTCTCATTTCAGACTCAAATTTAGCTTGACACTAGCGAAACTTCAACCGGAACAGTTTTTTTTCAGACTTAAAAGAAGAAATTAAATAACTGTTCTGCAACCAGGCTTATTAAGCGTTTCTATATTCGGCAAATCTCAAGAGACAAGACAGCTTAGTTTATCCTTAAACGTTTGTATGCTGTATTTCAGGATGAAAGCTATTTCATGGAGAATAAATGTTCGATGGCAGCCCGCAACTCCAGCTGTCCTGCCGGGTATTGCTGTGCTTATGACGAGTTTTTCCGCATCATCTACTACTGCAAAAAACTAGGTGCCGTGGGTGAGTCGTGTTCGACTGTTTCCAGCGATGCTGACTGTCCGTGTGAACCCGGACTCGCATGTGTCCCGACAGTTCAAGGGTCAAGTTTTGTTACTATATATGGAAGATGTCAAGTAAAGTCTCAACCCACCACTGCTGCTATGACAACAGATGGCCCTGTAACGTCAGATGGCGCTGTAACGACGTATAGTCCTACAGGCAATCCAACAGACAACAAAGGACATAACTCGCCTCACGTGACACACAAGCCCCACCAAGGATAATCATGTACATTTGTCATTTCTTTTATAAGAACTGAAAATTATATACTATAATATAGCAAGAATAAAAAAATTGTCTTGATAAATATATAGTCAGATACAATGCGCAAATCTAGAAGGAGCGGGTCGGGGCGGACCCCCTGGGATTTTCAGAGTTATTAGATTTCTATGTAAAGAAACAATATAGATGATCCCCCCCCCGCCTAGGAAACACACCCCTTAAATGGCAAATGGCTTCATTTTGTGAAGAAATTTGACTTAGGAAAGTGACACGTCAACACCCCCCTCCTCACCCCGCCCTAAATACGTTTTTCAGGCTTTTGCAGGTTTTTTAAAATTTGTTTTTGTTTGTTTTTTAAGAACAATTCCGGGTTAGACATTTGTTTGAGTGCATGGGTGTTGAGTCCCCTGAAAAAAAAAAAAATCCTGGACCTGCGGAGGGATGCATGCACTAAAACAGGTCTTTGAAAAAGCATTTATATACATATTTATTGTTCGTATTGGTTTTAAAATGGACCTAGATATTCCTTCATTTTTACATACATAATCAGAGGATAAATGGAAATTATTCATAATGTGATTTTAAGAGAGTATTGACGAGAGATTAGATGCATTACACCTGAGGATCTGGATGTTTACATTCCCTAAAAAAGTCACTGAGTGCAAAATACATTATACAGTATGCAGGTAGAACAATAAACGAAGAAAGGGCTTTTGTCATGGATTATTTCTACAGATGCCATATGAATATATCCGATCTTTTAGAGACTTTCAGACTTTGATAACCTCTTAGGGCGTATAATTCCTGTGAATATCACAAGCAGCATATATGATACAGGACTAGAAACATGAATTCCCAGGAACTCCACACAAGATTAAAAAGTATTAAACTTATGGTTACCTTGGGTTAGGTCTAGCTGCTAAATGTGTATAATGTATAGATTTTAAGGAAATATATACTATTCCTTAAGTGTTTTCCATCTTGGAAATCAAATGAATGATCTGCATTCGCATTAGAGAGGGCCATCCGTTGTATATATATGGATTTTTTTTTTTTTTTTTTTTTTTTTGCCAAAAGCATTATACTACAAGTATTGTTTGACTTGAATAAACGCACGAATGGTATATATGAATCTTAGGCGTTTGATTTCATGATGGTGTATATTTTGTGTATTGTGTGTTTTTCTATGTCTGTCTAGATACACTCATTACAATAAAAATAAGCATTTTTAAAAGAGATCATATTTCTGTATACAAAAAGACATACTATCTCTTTATGTACAGACGCGGAATATGATATCTTTTCAAAATGCTAATTTCAGCGATTATTTGACTTTCTATATACAGAATGATGTGATATCAATAGGTCACTTGTAGCTTCTACAATTACGACTCTCTATGTTCAAAATCATTCAAGAGTAAATAAAGTTCCTTATTTTAGCTGGTCACGCAATCCATTAATTCCGATCCAAACTCCACTGTCTGATGAGTACAAATCTACACAGATACTGTAGTGATCATTTTAATTCAATTTTAATCTTGCAAAATTCTGCTGTAAGAAGCACAAAAGAGCCTGGAAAGGGGGGGGGGGGTTCCACCCTACTCAAAAAAAAAAAAAAAAAAAAAATCCGACCCGAAAATTTTTCGAAGAAAAAAACATACCTCGGGATGAAAGGGGGGCTTACTTTCACTTCGTAAACTTCATATACATGCATGTATACATGTACATGACTCTCCTTATCAACTTAAAAGGGGTCTGTATTTCCGGTGAGTGGGGGGTCTTAGATCTTTCTTTAGTTACTGTACTATCTGCATGGCCGTAGGAACCGGGGGGGGGGGGGGGGCACGGGGAACCCGGAATAATTTTGCCAATATATAGATTACTATAAAAAACATAGCTACTATATGCTTGTGCCCCCTCAATAAAAACATCTGATGACCATGGAATTTTTGGTAGTTGTTAGTGCCCACTCAACTGAAAATGTATGGCTGTGCCCCCCGAAACTGAAATTGCTTCCTACGGGCCTATTCTGTTAGTATATCTAAAAAATCTTGCGATGGGGTCCGCGCATATATATAATGAATATTGTTTACTGATTAGGTTGATGATTCAGGCATATGATTGTTGGAATTCTTTCATCATTAATCTCGGATGAGAGATTTGGCTCGACGGGTATAGAGTGGTGCCGTCAATCTCGGCCTATAGATAACCTCAAAAGAATATACTACCGTATATACTCGCCTATAAGTCGGTATTTTGGGAGTTAAATTTTGGTCCAAAACTGTATGTCCGACTTATAGGCGAGTCATAAAAAGATTAGTATTTTTCTGGACGGCGAAATGTAGTATTTTATAAACATTTCCCATGATTGTCGTTGAACTATATTATATCATTTATGTTTTCTAAGATTATACGTAAAGTATAAGTATTTACATATTTTAATAACTTTATTTTTATCTTAATTGTTCATTGTGTATTTTTCTTACTGATTCCAAATTAAATATCGGCGTCATTTCTAAAAATATTAATCAAAATCAGGTTAAAACATTAGAGCATTGATTTGAAATTGTCAACTGATTCTGGCAAAAAGTTGTACCGACTTATAAGCGGGTCAATGGCAATTCCCTCCAAAATAACCTCAAAAAATACAACCGACTTATAGGCAAGTATATACGGTAGTATCTGTCAAACGATAAATTTCTGTGACATTATTAAGAGTTTATATATCAGGCAGGTCTCCTGAAAATATCAGATTAAAAAAATCGGAGAGGGCTACATTATTGCAGCTAGAAAAATAAGGTCTATATCTATATCTATATATATATATATATATATATATATATATATATATATATATATATATATATATATATATATATATATATATAGACAAAATTATTAATTGGAGGACACCCCCATCCCCGATTCCTACGGCCATGCCGTATGTTCAAATCCTCCAAAGTTAATGTAATTTTTCTTGTCGCAAGGATAAAAATTGAAGCCCCCCCCAACCCCCAACCCCTTACACATACGAAATTGAATTTTGAGCTTGTATATTCATTTTCTTTTTGATTTTCAAAATATTTTCGATTAGGTATCTGGTCAGTTACTTTTTCTGAGTGCCCCTATCCAATTTGAAAAAAAAAATGAAATAAAAAGACGATGCTACGTATGCAAAAAAACCAAAACAAAACAAAATAAAAACAAAACAAAAAACAAAACAAAAACAAACAAACAAACAAACTATACAACAACAACAACGTTCGGGAGGTAAGCCGGAAAACATATATTGAAAATATACATTTGCATGCATTTTTTATTTATTTATTTTTTAATTTTTGGAAAAAATTTCTCATGAGAATGATCGGCGCAAAATCAATATTATAACACAGGCGGATTTAATGGAGAGGGGTGGCTAGATAGGGAGGGGAGCACTTTCACCAATTTTCTCGACTTTATATGTAATATTCAAAAATAAATAATTTATTTCCAAAAGGAAAAGGGATTGGACAGAAGGTAAAATGTCTATTTTTGGGTACTACTAGGTCATTTAATAGCAATTCTCTGTAACCACTTAAACTTCTTTGCCACGCATGGTCACCGATTTTGATGAAACTTTGCCCATTATTACAACTTGACACCAGAAACATATATCAAATAAAATTTCGTTGCTATGTGTCTTGGTTGCCATGGTAACAGCCAGAAAAGTTGAAAAAATTGAGATTTTCAGCCACTTTAAATCTTTATTAAGCCTTAATAAAGACTAAGAAAAACAAACAAACCATTCTCCCAAAAACATGACACCTTGTTAATTGCCAGTTATGCTATAAAGAAACTATTTAGAATTTATCTCTAAGTAAGTGGTAACCATGGGTACATTTGCAATACATTTTAGTTGCTGAAAAATGCTGAAAAACGCTCTATAGCCACAAATGATAGATGTTACATAATCAAACTCAATCAACAACGTAAGAAAAACAATGAAAAATATTTGACCTCCTGTAAATAAATTAGGTATTGGCAATATTATTCTAAAAATAACTTTCATGGTTGCCATGGTAACACAGTGTCACCATGCAAAATCTGTTGCTATGATTGGGTTAATGCTACTATCGTGAAGGAAAACAATAAAATTCATGACTGGCACATATGCATCCTTAGAACCTTGCAACACCAACAACATAAGAAAAATTGAGATTAATTGTTACTTTGCAGTGTAACCATGGAAACAACGTACTAGTTGTTTAAAGTGATATTTTTGTGCTGCTTTAGGAATTTACCAACCTTTTAATCAAGAAAAATATCATTTGAATCACCTTGAATAGTACTTATCTCGTAGAACTAAAGTTGAATATCATATATTGATAAAGGTTGTTGAAAAATACAACACTGTTGCTATGGTAACCATGAAGAGAAAATGTTCGATTTTGTTAATTTTTTGTCAATATTAGACCCTATGTGCCAGCTTTTTGCATCCAGTTAGAGATTGGGTGATAGTCAAAATTGAAAGTCAGGTTAGTTGTTCACATATATCAATCATTAAAGTTTTGGGAATCTACATACAACGGTACGTATCCAAGGAAACAGAGTATTTTTCAGATTTTTATGCATGTTTTTTTCGCCTTATTTCCATAGCAACGCACTATTTAAAGAATTGAAATTGAATTTTTTGAAATGTGCAAATTAGGGTCACACCAAGGCCTTTAAAAATTGATCATCAGTTATATAGAAATATGCTTTTTAAAAAGATAGGATAAGATTAAAACACTAAGAGAGTAAATTTAAAATCCCTTTGCGGTATTAAAACCATGGCAACCATTGCCAACCTATAAGAAATATCATATTTTGTCCTTGGTATATGTTACAAGGATTTCTTCTCTATTATTTGCTTGCATTTCAACCTATAATTGTTTTTATTCTTAAGTGTATGACTTTATAAAATTAAATGAACAAAATTATTACTTTTGAATACTTTGTTTCCATAATAACGTATGTTATAGAT